TTTTACCATTTTTTTGAGACGGATAAAGCTTTATTTTGGTGGTATTTATTCACCACTGGGATTTGTATTTTTTTTGCTATGTAAATGAAATATCCAAAAAATGTTTTATAAAATTTTGCAAATAAATAATATTTCATCATAAATCTTAGCCAAAATGTATTCCGTTATCTTTTTAGTAAAAAAAAAAAAAAAAATCCAAATTAGTTTATAAGCAAAAATTATAATTTTTAAACATTTTTTTTTACGTTTTTATTTTATCTTTTTATATTATTTTTTTTTTTTTTTTTTTTTTTTTTTACATACGGTCACCCTAGCAGTACAGTGTCACCATGGTGACACTGTACTACTTGTGGGGGGTGATGAAGATTTTTTTTTTTTTACACTGATTGCTTTTACACCCATATAGGATGTAAAAGCAATCATTTCTCTTTCTCTCTGTGTGCATTCTTGCACTCATTGAGAAGTACTGAGTGAGCTGTGATTGGTCACAGCTTGTCACATGGTACAAGGCTTTTGTGAATAGCCTTGTACCATGTGACCTCTGTGATCATTCACAGATTTCACACGTAGTAAGCAATGATGTCACAAGTGACATCTTGCTTACTACTTTGCATGTGATCACTGATTGGCCAATCAGTGATCACATGATCGGGACCTCGTACAGAGGTCCCGTCCGACGATCGGTGTTTCACTGTGTCCGGAGGACACAGCGGGCACCGGATCTCGGTGCTGCACGCTCCCAGGGAGCGCGCACAAGCAGGGTGCGGGGAGGCCGTTTATAGATGGCCACCCGACCCTGCAGTGCCACCGTCCGGCTATTTATATACAATGGCCGGACGGGAAGTGGTTAAATACCTTCACAGTACACACTTAGAGGCGCTGTGTTTCTTTGTTTCCCTTCTGCAGAGTTATGCTTCGGTCCTACACAGCTTGCCATTAGTGCCTACTGGACTACCTTCACCCCTAATAAAACATACATGGACTGTCACCCCATGCGCCTGTTATCCCTTTTTGTATTAAAATAAAATCCACCCTACAATAAAAGCTTAATGATTCTTGCCAATTCAGTGAGCAATGTCTCCTGTCTCATCTTTGTGGGTCCACAGCCACCGTACAATTTTCAGCTTCTGAAACGCTGCTTCCAGGTGTGTTGGATGCCTTTTTCCCCATTTTACCATTTACCGGCCCCTGCAGGACACAGTAGTGATGTAGCGGATAGGACCACAACATGCAGAGAGGTAACAGGCATCTGACACAACTCTAGAAGTGTGCCATATGCTGAAGATTCTTGGGGGGTCGAACTGACGTTTAGGTGGAGGAGGACGAGATAGAGATTGTGACATCACTGCCTCACCTCACCTCTACAATTCCACAATGAAAGTAAAGCATTCTCTGTATGGATGACGTGGAAAGATTTCCCTGAATGGTGCTTGTGCTAAACGAGCTTCCTCCTGGGTTCACAATGCAGCAGGGCAACTGCTTGGCACAGGACCCGAAGGTTAGTGGAGATCACTGGTGCTTGCACAGTGATCCCATAGGTATGAAACATACTGACTTACATATGTCGAAGCTGGGCCAAAAATGTAAGAATTGACATACCTAAACTTCAGCTTTAAGAAAGCAGAGAGAAGAGTCACCACCCCCCAGGCTGTTAGAGACCTTGTCACCAACTTTAAAATTGAAGTTAAAAGCAAAGAATCGAGTATTTTAATTGTTGTATTTTTCCTTTCCATAAATGTATTTACTTGCAACAAGCCTTTGAACTTCCTAGAGAATTTGACTATCCAAGGAACGGGGAATTCAGTAGCACAACCTTTGCTCTCCTTCCACGTCATAGCCCTCTTCGAGGAGTGTCTACTTGCTGTCTGTCCTGGCCCAGCTCCTCTGTCCCTCCCTTCATCATGCTACATAACCTTTTATGCGACTGCCTGCTGAGGAGTTAAGGGGAATACTGTGGAGCTCTGAGTCTACTGGAGCTGTGACATCACATCCAAGATGGCAGCAACCAGCATGAGTCCCAGGGCTTTTGGATGTCTACACAAGAGAGGCTTTTATGGGTTAATTACTTGCAATAAAATAGTATAAACAAACATATAGTCTAATAAGATTCTAATTCTTATTGAAACAAATTGTCTGGCGGGTCTTTTTAGGTATCTTTTACAGGGTGGTGTTTTTTTTTTTACTATTTATAATTTGGCAACAGTCATTTTAACCACTTCCTGTCCGACCCATGTACAGTGAGGAACAGAGGTATTTGAACACCCTGCAATTTTTCAAGTTCTCCCACTTAGAAATCATGGAGGGGTCTGAAATTCACATTGTAGGTGCATTCCCACTCTGAGAGACAAAATTAAAAAAAAAATTTCAGGAAATCACATTGTATGATTTTTAAAGAATGTATTTGTCTTGCACTGCTGAACATAAGTATTTGAAATCAGTGTTAATATTTGGTACAGAAGCCTTTGTTTGCAATTACAGAGGTCAGACGTTTTCTGTAGTTCTTGACCAGGTTTGCACTGCAACAGGGATTTTGGCCCACTCCTCCACACAGATCTCTCTCTAGATCTGTCAGGTTTCGGGGCTCTCGCTGAGCAACACGGAGTTTCAGCTCCCTCCAAAGATGTTCTATTGGATTTAGGTCTGGAGACTGGCTAGGCCACTCCAGAACCTTGTTATGTTTCTTATGGAGCCACTCCTTGGTTATCCTGGCTGTGTGCTTCAGGTCGTTGTCATGTTGGAAGACCCAGCCACGACCCATCTTCAATGCTCTGACTGAGGGAAGGAGGTTGTTGCTCAAAATCTCACAATAATGGCCCCATTCATCCTCTCCTTAATACAGTGCAGTCGTCCTCTCCCCTTGGCAGAAAAGCACCCCCAAAGCATGATGTTACCACCCCCATGCTTCACAGTAGGGATGGTGTTCTTGGGATGCAACTCATCCTTCTTTTTCCTCCAAACACGACGAGTGAAGTTTAGACCAAAAAGTTCTACTTTGGTCTCATCTGACCACATGACTTTCTCCCATGCCTCCTCTGGATTATCCAGATGGTCATTGGCAAACTTCAGACGGCCTGGACATGTGATGACTTGAGCAGGGGAACCTTCCGTTCAATGCATGATTTAAAACCATGACGGCGTAGTGTTCTACCGACAGTGACCTTTGAAACTGTGGTCCCAGCTCTCTTCATGTCATTGACCAGCTCCTCCCTTGTAGTTCTGGGCTGATTCCTCACCTTTCTTATCATCGGTGATAACCCACAAGGTGAGATCTTGCATGGAGCCCCAGTCCGAGGGAGACTGACAGTCGTCTTTAGCCTCTTCCATTTTCTAACAATTGCTCCAACAGTTGATCTATTTTCACCAAGCTGCTTGGCAATTGCCCCGTAGCCCTTTCCAGCCTTGTGGAGGTCCACAATTTTGTCTCTGGTGTCTTTTGGTCTTGCCCATGGTAGTAGTTGGCGTCTGACTGACTGTGGGGTAGACAGGTGTCTTTAAAGAGCTCAGACAGGCGCTACTAGGTCTTTGAGAGCCAGAATTCTTGCTGTTTCTTAGGAGTTCAAATACTTATGTTCAGCAGTGCAAGACAAATAAATTTCTTTTAAAAAACATACAATATGATTTCCTGAATTTTATTTTTAAATTCTGTCTCTCAGAGTGGGAATGCACCTACAATGTGAATTTCAGACCCCTCCATGATTTCTAAGTGGGAGAACTTGAAAAATTGCAGGGTGTTCAAATACTTCTGTTCCTCACTGTATATAAACGGCCGGACGGAAGCATTGCAGGAGCGGGTGGCCGTTAATAAACATCCTCTCTGCTTCCCTGCCTGTTCGCGCTCCCTAGGAGTGCGTGGCACTGCGATCCGGTGCCCGCTGTGTCCGGAGGTCTCGATCATGTGATCAATGATTGGCCAATCAGTGATCACATGAATAGTAGTAAGTTAGATGTCACTTCTGACATCATTGCTTACTACTAGTGAAATCTGTGAATGATCACAGAGGTCACATGGTACAAGCCTATTCACGACAGCCTTGTACCCTGTGACAAGCTGTGACCAATCACAGCTCTCACAGTATTTCTCAATGGCTGCAAGAATGCAGTCAGAGAGAAGGAGAAATGATTGTTTTTACACCCATAAAGGCTGTAAAAGCAATCAGTGTAAAAAAAAAAAATAATAATCTTCATCACCACCCACAAGTAGTACAGTGTAACTGTGGTGACACTGTACTGCTAGGGTGACAGTATGTTTAAAAAAAAAAAAAAAAAAAACCATACCATAAATATTAAAAAAAAAATGTCAAATTTAAAAAAATTACAATTTTTGGTTATAAAATAATTGGGGTTATTTTCTTTTTTACTAAAAAGATAACTGAATACATTTTGCCCAAGATTTCTGAAGAAAGATTATTTATTGTAAAAGAAAAACACTTTTTTTTTTTCAAAATGTCTGGATTTTTCATTTATATAGCAAAAGAATAAAAATCCCAGTGGTGAATAAATACCACCAAAATTAAGTTTTATCTGTCTCAAAAAAATGCTAAGAAATTCATATGCGTACAGTGTTGCATGACCGCGCAACTGTCATTCAAATTGTGAGATAGCACTGAAAGCTGAAAATTGGCCTGGACTGGAAGGGGATACAAGTGTCCCGACTTGAAGTGGTTAAGCGCACACAATTTCCAGCAATTATCCTGGTCTGCTGGTCACATGATCTGTGATGTCATTGAACTTACGTTGCCACAGCACAGCAGTCATGCAGGTTTCTATCTCACATAGGGGGTCATTTATTAAACCTGGTGAGTGCAAAACGTGGTGCAACTCTGCAGAGAAACCAATCAGCTTCCAGGTTTTATTGCCAAAGCTTAAAGGATAAGTTCACCTTTTCTAACACGTTACACCCGTATTCAGGGTGTAACCAGCACCATGTTGGTGCTAATCTGATAGGCGACCATGGGCAGCAACGCCACTCTTGTTCAAGTCTGTTGATAAAATGTGCCAACCAGGGGCGGACTGATCATTTGGAAACTCGGGCACTGCCCGAGGGCCCAGGGTCAGTAGGGGGCCCCGTGAGATGCCCCTGGTACCTTTTTCATAGGCTTTTTTGAGTTTGGGCAAGGACACAGGGGCCCCATGATCCCCTCTTGCCCGGGGGCCCCATGAGTTGTCAGTCTGCCCCTGGTGGGAAGCGACTTTTCATTGAAGTCAGTCAGTGGGACACGATTTTGCATTGAAGTCGATCACTATTGGCACTTTTATATTTTTTCTATTGGCAAAACTCCCATAATCCTATTTTCGGCTGATAATTTTCGGCGGCTGATATATTGGGGCATCATTAATCTGCAGTCTTCTCTTCTCTGCAGTTGTTCAAAGTGCAGAATTGCTTGTCTGAGCTTCCACAGCTTGTCTGAGCTTCCAGAAAGCAGAGGGCGGGAAGTTGAAGTTACACTCTGCAAAGCTTAGTGAGAACTGATTGGAGGGAAGAGACACACCCACCGTCACATAGTACAGGGGAATAGAGCTGAGACCGTCAATCACAGGCTGTGTGCTGGAGATCCCTCCCCTGTCACTGCCCGAGGGCCCAGGGTCAGTAGGGGGCCCCGTGAGATGCCCCTGGTACCTTTTTCATAGGCTTTTTTGAGTTTGGGCAAGGACACAGGGGCCCCATGATCCCCTCTTGCCCGGGGGCCCCATGAGTTGTCAGTCTGCCCCTGGTGCCAACCAATCAGATATGTGCCTGCTGTGTGATTGGAAAGGGTGCACTGGTCTGTGAACTGTCTTCCTGACTGATCTCCATTTATTCAGAATCTGACCTTGCACTGCTCTGTAGATGGCTCTGTGAAAGTGGCTGTTCATATTGCATTGTCACTTGATTGCATGGCTTGGCTTTTGTTCGCTGTTTTCATGTATCCCTCCTTCTTTTAACTGTGACATCAGAAGGTGATGCTTTTGCTGACAAACGGCCCCAGTTTGACAGACGCGATACGCCTACAGGTACTGTACTCGGATGAGAATGGTGTCTAGGTCCTAGAGGTGTTAGTAGTCTCTGTGTTTGTGGAGCATTCACTGCTGAGCCTGCAGCTCTCTCGTTATTGTGACATACAGACTGAACCTAAGAAGTGTCTGTATTGCCCACAGCAACCAATCAGTTTCCAGATGTCTTTTTCTCAGTGAAGGGTATACAATGAATTTCTTTTAAAACTATGTTAATCCCATTGCTTGTTTAACCACATGAACTCGAATATCTTACCTGCTGATTTAAACTGCTAACATCTGCAATAGTCATGACCAAGACTAGGAATGGTGTGAAGTTGATCTGGTATAGGGTTGCCACATGAATTGACACAGATTTCCATTTTAGTTCTCTTTCTGAATATGAAGCTGCCAGTAGATGGATCGAAATTCGGCTGGATCAGCAGGGACTGGCCGAATTTCGATCCACCTTTGGGCGGGCTGGCTGGCTGTACTGAAGTCGATCTATCGATCGCCTTCAGGAGAACCAGGCTGCCGGGTTTTTCTCATTCGATCACTGCCAGCGGCTATAGCCACCAGCATTGATCATTGTATTCTGGATTGTATTGAGGATACAAAAGCTGCACTGGAGGGATTCCCCCATCAACATTGAATGTGTTGATGGGGAAATTGAGCAGTTTTTTTTCCTACAACTGCGGCTGCAGGAAAGAAAATTGCTTATTGTGTGGCTGGCTGATTGCAAATCAGTTTTACTTTTCTAGGTACAAAGAGAAAAACAGCGCCTCTTTTTACCTACTCCAGAGTCACTTTCTTCACTCTACAACAGCTTGCCGGGTGTCCCTAGACCAGGGGCGGACTGACCATTTGGAAACGCGGGCACTGCCCGAGGGCCCGGGGTCAGTAGGGGGCCCCATGAGATGCCCCTGGTACCTTTTTCATAGGCTTTTTTGAGTTTGGGCAAGGACACAGGGGCCCCATGATCCCCTATTGCCCGGGGGCCCCATGAGTTTTCAGTCTGCCCCTGCCCTACACCGTTTGTTACCCCGCCAGCTCCTCACCCCACACTCAACCTGTAGACTATACAGACTGCGTATTCCATGCGCCTGTTACTCTTTTTTTATATTCTTCCTTTTCTAGGTACTACTAGTGATAGTAATTATTACCTGGAACCTGTCAGGACAGGAATTTGAGAACTGTCACTGCTGACCTCTTATAGAATGTGCAGGTTCCAGGGATGTCATTTTTATTCTTTGTTCACTATAGTCACTTTCTGAGAGCAAATATGCAGACAATTACATTGAGGCACAGCCGACCTACATGCGGTTTCCAGGCAAGCAATTCTCCAAGTAGTTCCTGACATATTTTTTCCCTCATTAGTTTGCTTATGTTTAGGTATCAAAAGATCTCCATTAAAGCGGTATTAAACCTAAAACCACAAATCTAATCTATATTGCAGCTTACCAATCATTAGATGTGATGGCTACGTTGGTTTTCTTTTTTTTTTAAGATTTTTCCCTCTGTTTTCACCTGGTGATTTGTCAGTAACACACCTCCTGTATTAGAGCTCCCCCACTCTGGATGAAGGAGCACAGGAGGCACACTAGGCAGCAGCATTGTCGAGGGAGGAGGGGAGTTTTAGATGGACTAGTAGATTTAAATACACTATCAAACTGAAGCCAAACTCCAGCTAAGGCTACGTTCACGCTTTGTCAGCAGGCGTCAGACAGGCATTTGGGAAGCGTTTTTAACACTTCTCAAATGCCTATGAAAATTCTGCACATGGCAGCACACAGTGCTGTTCACACTGAAGCGTTAGCGTCATGTCGTGGCAAAACAGAAGCCTAATGTCGAATTAGGAGGAGTTGAAGCCTCCCATTCAAGTGTATGGTGCCGCTCCTCAAACTCCTGGCAGGCATTTGCGAGGCGGTTTTGAGGTGTTTGCGGAGCGTTAAGACCATTTAACTTCATTATAGGCGTTTGTGGTGTTAACGCTTGGCAAACGCCTATGAAACGCGTCAAGACCGCACACAGGGCGTTTGAGGAGCATTAAAAACACTTCACAAATGCCTGTCATAGATATAGATATAGATAGATAGATATAGATAGATAGATATATAGGGGCATTTGGCAAGAGTTAGAAATAAGTCAAGTGTGAACGAGCCCTAATACTCTATAAGCAGGTAGAGCAATCTGTTTTTTCCCTTTTGGGATAAAAGTTTTACATAAATTAATAAAACTGATCATTGTAAGCACCCCTGTCAGTGTTGAATGGTTTGTCTCATCCCTGTAACTGATACATCTGGAAGAGAGCTTGTTCTTTTCAAAAACAACAGACTTATTGGCCAGATCACTAGGTCAAAATAGAAATCCCCAAAAAAAAACTAATGCAGCCACCACATCTAAGAATTGGTAAGCTGCAATATAATAAATGTTTGCTTCTGGGTTTAACACCACTTTCAATTGACCGTTTCTCCAGTGCACCCCCTGTGCTCCGTCATGCGATGTCACCGCCTTCTGTTCTGGCCACCCTGCCATAATTGTAGTTGACTTTGTAGGGAGGCTAAATTGGGTGGGTGCAAGCTGGCTCAGGACCCTCTAAAACAGGGGCCTAGTCACACAATGTGATTGCTGTTTCTGCGGCACTGCAGGGGGTCCGCTCTAGACCATGGTGATTGCTTGTAATAGCTCTTTAATCCGGTTGCTGCAGCAGAGTTTTCCTTGGTGTAAAGAAAGCAAAGTGGAGGTACAACGTGTGATGGTGTCCCTGCATGTAACAGGTAGATCATTTATAACAGAAACACACAGAGTGTCCTCTGCTGATCTTGGCTCACTGTACACTGCTTGAATCCTAAGGAAAGTGGCAACCCTATCCCAGAATCCTTTGCATGAGGCGTGCTAGACTCAGCCAGGGGCATGTGCAGAGCTTTGACTCATCTCCTCATCACAGATCTAACAAATCCCAAGTCTGATCCCGCTGCACATTGCATGACAGTTTTTCCTTTGCTTTAAAAAGATCTGGACTAAGGTTGATGTGTGAATAAAAGCTTTTACAAACATGGGGTATTGTTGCCATTTGTACTGAACCCTTTCTGAATCTTACAGCCATGGGTCATAAATATAGTGCTCCCCGATGGGAATAAAAGTATTCCTTGATTTTATATTGAAGCAATTTTCTCAGGCTTAGGCTGGCCATAGACGGGCCGTTTATCAGCTGAATTGTCAGCCGATAAATGAAAAAATCGGTCGTTGCTGCCACCAATGCTTACGAAAAATGGCCGTTTTTCGTAGATTTTCCAGCATGACTGATAAAAAGAAACGAGAAGATCTGCGAAAATCGTCCGACGACATTGGCCTACTAACAGTGTGAACATCGGCCGATTTTTTTGTTCGGACGAAAATTTGTCCGATAAACGAACCGTCTATGGCCTGCATTGGACAACCTGTGTTGATGCGGGTTATGTAGATGAAGAGAGGGGGGGGGGGGGGGGGGGGGGAAGAGTCCTAAATCCTAAGTCTTACATGCTTTTTGTTCTGAGGTGACATTGTGCTTCCATAACTACAGTACAGTAAGTGAGTGTTGTCACCTTTGGAGAGGAAGCGTGTTACTATCAGGATCCCCAGGCGAAAGATGCTTGGGGGAAAAAAAGGAAAACTAATGCAGCCACAACATCTAAGGACTGGTAAGTTGGATTTAGAGACACTTCAATAAGGTGTGGTCTGCTTGACACAAAAGGCAAATCCAGCCAGTTTTTAGGTTGACCTGGGTCAGTTTAGTGATTTGCCGGCAGTTTACAGTGAGAATTTCCATTACGGGATTTAAATGACTCCACCCTCGTGTAGAATTAATCAGCAGTGTTACCTGAAATAAAACATTGCACTGGGGTTATCTCCCGACTGGATTCACGGACAGCGATAAACAACAAGAGGGTGACCTAACAAGTCAGCACCCACCCATAAATGCAGGATCAGTTTTGGGTGGATATTACCTTTTAAAATGTTGCATCAGATTGTTGTACTTTTGTCACCATCATCAGAAAGTGTAGAATATGAGGTGTTCCCTCCATGTAGAAAACATGACCTACAGTACCATTCCCGAACCCAATACTGTAGTGTTGTCCTGCTCTGACTGTATGTCCTTCTCTCTCCTCTCTTGTAACTTCCCCCCTTCCCGCCCCCAACCCTTTCCACACAGAGAATGAACAGCCTTCCCTCATTTGGTTTGACAGAGGAAAGTTTTATTTGACTTTTGAAGGTAAGTAGTGCACAGCATACCAAAGAACCTGCCCCGTCCTTCCCCCTGCCTGCAGTTCTGCCTGCATAGTCTAGATGCTTTCTGATGAACCCCAGGCCTACTGGGGGGGGTTAAGCTTGCTTTGCGGTCACAGCACATGGGCACATTCTGCTGCTTGTCAAGGTCGAAGGTCACATTGTTGCATCTTCCCTTCTCAGCATTGCCAACTCATCTATGTTATTACCAACATACAGTCATGTGAAGGAGTAAGTGGGGATTCTTGACTTTTTGTAAACTTACTTGAGCAGGCAAACATTAGATCTTTAAGGTGACATACTTAAATGACACATACATTTCACATAGCCTATTCCTTAATCAATCCCCCTTAATCGAAGTTAATAAATAAAATGCTAATTTGTTACATGGAAAAGTAAAGTACACTTCTACATCTCTCACCACTTCAAATCCATGAGATTAGACCCCAGTGTTCCAGATTAGGTGACCATGATTAGAGCCTCCATGAGGTTATTAGAATCTCTGGTATCTAGGGTCTGGTGTGATGCCCAAGTTTCAAGAGATAAAAAAATCCAAATGATCTGAAATCAGTTATTCCACTGTGAAGAAAATAATTTATAAGTGTCATGGATTTCAAATGACTGCTCAGTTGTCTAGGGCTGGCCTTACTGTTCGATGCTAAGGGAATTCTTTTTTTTTAAACCCCAAATTTTATTGTGAGATCTGCAGGTAACGTTTTACGGTTGGTGTCAACGTGAACGCCTCTACAGTCAGAGATTATTAAAGTGGTAGTAAAGTCTGTTTTTTTTTTCCACTTGTACCTACCGGTAAACCTATAATAAGGCTTACCTGTAGGTACTGTAAACATCTCCTAAGCGTATACCATTTAGGAGATATTCACTTGTAAAGCAGCACCAGCTCCTGTGCTCTGAAGGAACAGCATACCTGTGCCGTCCTTCAGAGCTGTGTGCCATAAAAAGTGACTCACGCGCATGTGCGGAGTGACGTCATCGTTGCTTGGCCATTCAATCTGCGCAAGCCTGGAAGAAGGACCGGGTGAAGGTCACAAAGCTGGAGGGCTTCGTTTTAAGGTTAGTTTCACATAATGTGCTAGGGCAGCACAGTGCCTAAATGGTTAGCACTTCCGCCTGGCAGTACTAGGGTCGTTGGTTCGAATCCCAGCCACGGCACCACCCGCCTGGAGTTTGCATGTTCTCCCTGTGCCTGTGTGGGTTTCCTCCCACACTCCAAAGACATGCTGGTAGGTTAATTGGCTCCTGTCTAAATTGTCCCAAGTATGTGTATGTATGACTGTAAGTTTGGGACCTTAGATTGTACGCCCCTTGAGGGTTAGGGACTGATGTGAATGTACAATATATATGTAAAGCGCAGCATAAATTGACGGCACTATATAAGTACCTATAATAAATAAATAGTATGCGATGCATACTAGCACATTGTGACATTGCCTTGCAGGGGAAAAGTTGTTTTTTGGTTTTGTTTTGTTTGTGTTTTTGTTTTTTTAAGTACCAGGTTTACTACCACTTTAAAGTTTTTAAGCTGCTTGAGAGCTGTGCAAGGAAAAAGCCCCTGCTGTCCACAAAGAATGTGAGAGCAAGGCTACAGTTTTCCTTTGAACATATTGGAAAAGACCAGACCTCCTAGAACAATGTGCTGTAGACTGATGAATCAAGGATAGATTTGTTTGGCCACAGTAACAGTGGACATATTTGATGCAAACAGAAGACAGCATTTTAG